ACTTATTTTAGCATTTGGAAACCTGGGCTCTGGCATCAGTCTACCTGAGTTATTATTGTACATATGGATGGGGGGGTCTCAGGTTTTGTTCATAAGGCTGTAATTTTTTGTTAATCTCAAATCTCCCCAGAAGGACCCTGTCTTGTGATCTTCTGGTTTTCTTTCCAGACCTGGAGTCAAGTTTGTATCATGTTCCTGTTAGTGAAACGAGGCGGCTTTTTTTCTCTTTTGGTCTTGTTCATAAACCATGCTTAGAATTCTATATTTATCAGGATATTCCTCATGCAACCCTGAATTATTCAGGTGTTTCAGTGAGGTGTTTTAGATATTAGCTATTATAAATTTTATCTCTTGCTTAAATTATACTGAAAATTATATTGTAATTTAAGAGGAAAGCATTTTATTTGAGGTAGGAGAAAACTAGAAAAATATTTTTAAAAGTTTACAATCCCAATTTCTTGTTATTTTTGGCACTTTCATGTGAGAATATATATCTCTTGGTGAGAATGTAGAGTCTTCCACAGATGGAAGTAAAATTTAGCTCATCCATAGACCAGAGAAACTAGTTGAGGCCTGGGCCAAGATATATATCCAGAAAAACAAAGGAGATCTAGAAGAGATGTAGTAGGTAAAACTTGAAAACATCTCAAGACAGTAAGAAATTAAGTACACTAGTAAAATGAAGGCAATTTAATATACATAGAAAATGGTTCTCTGTGCTTGAATTCCCTTAGCACACTAATTAGACCATTTAAAATGGTTCTTAAACTATTAAGGTTTTTTAAAAAAATGTAGGTGTTTTGTGAAATTTTGCAACATAAAATGATAAAAATCTTGTAAGAGCTAATGGATGAAAACTTTCTTCAATACTTTTTTTTCAATTATAGTTGACATACAGTATTATATTAGTTTCAGCTGTACACTCCAGTGATTAAACATTATAAAACTAATTGAAAATCCCTATAAATCTCCCACCCATCTGACATCATAAAGAGTTATTAGGTTATTATTGATTATATTCCCTATGCTGTACTTTACATCCCCATGACTTTTCTACAACTACCAATTTGAACTTTAAATCCCTTCACCTTTTTCATCCATTCCCCCAACTCTTCTCTGGCAACCATTAAAATGTTCTATGAGTCTGTTTCTGTTCTGATTGTTTTTTTGTTTTTTTTTTTACATTCAATTGTTGACTTGCTATTTTATTGTTCATATTTTTTAATCTTTTAAAAAATATTTTTAAAGAGACCCTTTAGCATTTTCATGTAATCCTGGTTTGGTGATAATGAACTCCCGTAGCTTTTTCTTTACTGGGAAGCTCTTTGTATGTCCTTTGATTCTAAATGATAGCTTTGCTGGGAGGAATAATTGTGATTGTAAGTCCTTGCTTTTCATCACCTTGAATTATTTCTTGCCATTCCCTTCTGGCCAGAAAAGTTTCTGTGGACAAATCACCTGACAGTCTTATGGGAGGCTCCCTTTTAGGTAATAACTTCTTGCTCTCTCTCTTCTTTTGGCATCCACATAATGTGAATGTCGGTTCACTTGAGTGTTCCCAGAGGATCCTTACACTATTTTCATATTTTTGGATTATTTTTTCCTGTTCTAATGGTTTTTTTTTTTTTTTATTGTTTTGTTTTTGCTTCCTCATATACCACATCTCTGATTTGATTCTTGGCATCATTACTCTACTGTTTATTCCCTGAAAATAATTCATTTTAGTTAATATATCCTTCATTTTTGACTATTCCTTTTTATGCTGTTGAGGTTCTCACCAATTTTCTTGAGCATCCTTAAACCACTGTTTTGAACTATGTATCTGGTAGGTTGCCTACCTCCATTTTGGTAGGTAGTTCTTTCTCTGGAGATTTTTCCTATTTTTTCATTTGGGACATGTTTCTTTGTGTCTGCATTTTGGCCTCTTCCCTGTGTTTGTTTTTATGTATTAGGTATAGCTGCTGTGTCTCCAGGACTTGGTAGAGTGGCCTTATGTAGTGGGGTGTAAGGCCTTGTGACACAGCCTCCCTAGTAACCTGAGCTAGACACTCCAGGTGCCTCTCTGTCTGGGCTATATGAACTGTCCTGTTGTAGTTGAGCCTTGACTGCTATTGGTATCACTGGGAAGGATTGAACCCCCAGGCCATTTGGCCAAGGACCAGCTGTGACGGAGGTGATGCTGTGAAGCAGGAATTGCTTCATTGAGGCTTTGGTGCTCACCAAGTCTGCTCCTTGAGTGTTTCACTTGTGGAGGTGGGAGGATTGTAATACAGCATGGTTTAAAGTTGTCCACCAGATGCACTGGCTCTGGGGACTTCTGGGAGGTGCAAAGTCAGCCACTGCTTGTGCCCAGCCTGGGGCCACTTAGCAAGAGGTAGACAGTAGGCAGAGTCCAGATGCTGCTAGTTGGAGAGATTTTGGAAATTCCAAAGCATGAGGCAAGACAGACCATTCATATGGAAAAACTACTGGAAATGGCATGGATGGGCCTACAAGTTGTGTGGGAACTACCAAGACAAGGCAGACAGTGTGAGCCAGTTTGATTGAGACTCAGATATGGTGTCTGCCTGCTGGGTGTGTATGTGGGGAGGGCTCTCCCCCCAGTTCTCATTTTGTTACCAGGTAATTCAGTTTTTCCCCATATATCCCTAGTTTCTCTCAAGCTGTTGTGTTAGCACCGGAGCTCAGAGGGAGTAAGTCTGTGTGCAGGCCCTTTGAAAGCAACTACCTGGGACTCCAGGAGCCTCTATGTCTCCCTTAGCCTCAATCCCTGCTGAGTTTTACAGCCTGAAGTTATGGGGACTTGTCTTCTTGGCACTGAAATGCCAGGCTGGGTTTTTTGGTGTGGGACTGGGACTCTTGGCTTCTCAAGGCACACCTCTACAGCCAAGATAGCCCTCTTCATTTTAAATCACCACACTTGTGTGGGACCAGCTCCTTCAACATTTGCACCTCTCCTACCAGTCTCAATGTGGCTTCTTTACATCCCTAGTCGTAGGACTTCCATTCAGCTAGATTTCAGGAGGTTCTGACTGATGGTTGTTCTATAGTTCAGTTGTGTTTTTGATGTGGTTGTGGGAGAATTGAAGTCCCACATTTATCCATGCTGCCATCTTGACTAGAAGTCCTCTAACACATAAACATTGTAAATGCTTATTAGTCCATTGATAGGATATAAAGATTTAAGTAATTGGTACTTGTACAGGTTAAAGCTGTACCTATTCCACAGAATGTGTGACTTTAGTATTTCATATTTCATATTCAGTGTTTCAAATGCAAAAAGAAAGCATTTTTACATTGTCCCTTTTAAATACATTGGAACCTCAGCTCTCGAACTTAATTTGTTCCAGAAGGCTGTTTGAGAGGCAATTTGTTTGAAAACCATATTTGCTTTGTTTGTTGGCTGAGAAACACGTGACTGATCATACAGGTATCAGTATAAAAGATTGTTGTGTGGAGAACTAAAGTTTTGTTAGACAACCAAGACATTTTTGTCTGTGAACAACTTGGTTGAGAACCAAATTTGTTCGAGTTGTGAGATGTTCAAGAACTGAGATTTGACTGTATCTTGTTTCTGGTTTTGAACTCTTGATAGTAAAAACCCAAACTTATATATATATTTCAAGTGCTACTTTATAAAATCTGAATTACCAGTACAACTTTAGAAAATCACACCTGATGAGTTTATTTCCTCTTAAATTTATTAAGAGACAGGAAGGAGAAATGAATTTTATTGGACTTTGCCTGGCATGTTCAAGGACCACCAAATAAACCAGCATTGCTATATTAGTGTCACCTTAAGAAACAATTATAGGAGAGGAGTTGGAAAATTAGTAAATACCATTCTTTTGAGAAATTTTGCTTTAAAAGGGAGCAAAGAAATGAAACTGTGGTTGGATCTCGAGAAGATGTACTTGTGAGATTTGGGATATTGCAGCATGATTATAATGTAGTGGAAGTGACTTAGTAGAGAGAGAAAATGATGATGTAGGAGAGAGGGAGAGAATTGCCAAAGAAATATCCTAAGGTAGGCTGCAGGGGATTGGATCTAGTGCATTTATAGAAATTTGGCCATTGACTAGGGCTCAGAAGGTTCATCTGTAGTATCAGAATGAAATGTAGGGAATATGGAATCATTTTTTAAAGTATAATTTGGTGATTTGATAAATGAAAACAACATACTTTTCATTTTTGGAAAGGTCTTATAAAATGCATACCTAATTATCCTTTTAGCATAAGTAGAAGGGAATAAAATGGGAGGGAGATAAACCTGCATTTAAATTCTAGCTCTGCAATAGACTAGCTGACATGTGATTAACTGTTACAACATCCTTGTGTTATTTAGGGGCCCAGAAGGAAACAGAATTCACCCCCAGCTTGTTTAAATAAAAAGATTTTGAGAAGAGGAGCAGGATTGAGGATGGATAAGATATGATTAGTCAACCATGGGAATCTGTTACTGCACCTGGGGCTGAAGGAACAGGGTGGAAATGGTGTTTTTTGAGTACACAATGCTGTTTCCAGACTCATAGCTAAAGCTGTAAAGGGAAGACCATCTGTTAAGAGCTGTTGCCATGGAGGGGCATAGCTATTGCCAGAGACAATGATGTAGAGGCAGGGAAGCAGCAGAGAACTTGATCTCTCTCTTCCTAAAGTCCAATTTCCTGCTGTTGGCTTCCATCCTAAGGAGAAACCAACAGTATGAGAGCTCAGGGATACAGATTATAGGGGTCAGCCTCCCTAGGGTTGAGTAAAGGTCAAATAATAGAACTGGGAGGCAAATACAGAATTAACTACTTAATCACTAAGCTTCGACTTCCCTGTATATAAAAAGGGGTTACTTGCAAAGTTGCTGTGATTTTACATGGCTGTCGAGCAACTGACACATTGCTAGTGCATTGTGACTATGATGGGGTAGCATAACCGTTAGGAATCTTTAAAGCTTTGGAAGTAGGCAGATCTGAATTTTATTTTATTTTTCAGAGTTCGTCACACCCATTTGTCAGACGGGTAATGAATATGCTGATGTCCAAAGTTTGTGGGGGGGCACACGTCACACAAGAGCGTGAACACCCAGTCATCATGCTTTGAATTTCATTTTTGTCTCTGCCTCTTGTTAGTCATGTGACGTAGGGCAGGTCACTTCAACTCTCTTACTTGCAGTTGTGCCATCTGTAAAATGCAGAAATAAGGCTTGTCACAGAGAGACCTAGGATTAAAGGAGACAATATGTAGTGTCTACCATAGTGCCGGTACTTAGCATGCATTCTAGTCACAACCATCATCATATTATTTGATTAATAAAAATAGTAAATGATTACAATAATCCTCCCTTATCCATGTGGGATGTGTTCCAAGACCCCCAGTGGTTGCAGTGGATAGTACCAACCCCTGTATTTACTATGTTTTGTCCTATACAGACATACCTATGATAACGTTTAATTTATAAATTAGGCATATTGAAGTTAACAATAACAGTAGAATAGAAAAGCTAAACAATATATTGTCATAAGTCCTGTAACTGCGGTATTACGTGAAATAAGGGTTACTGGAACCCAAGCACTGCAGTACTGGGACAGTTGACATGACAGACAAGATGGCTACTAAGTGACTGAATGGCGGGAAGCGTTTATGTGTGCATAAGCTGAACAAAGGGGTGATTATATGTCTTCGGTGGACCAGCATGAGATTTCATCATGTTGTTTTAAAAAGTGTGCAATTTAAAACTTAATGAATTATTTCTAGAATTTTCTATTTAATATTCTCAGACAGTGATCGACCTCAGATGATTGAAACCATGGATAAAGGGACTACTGTAGCTTCTGGAGTAATACTAGTCTCCCAATCTCCCCCAATCCCCACCCCACTCCACCACTTTTTTTTGTTTCTCAGTTTTTGGCTGGAGCCCTCCTTTGCCATACAGAGGTCAGAATTACTATTTTTTGCACTTTGGGGTATTAGGAAGTACCATTTTATTTTAACTTTGTGGCTTTTGATTTATGCTTTTGGTTTATATTAAAAAAAAATCAAAGTTAAATGGTTTTTTTCATTGGACCTGAGTTGGAAGGCAAAGGAATACAAAAAGTTCAACATACTGAAATTCAGTATTTCATTAGCAAAGATTTGTACACAAAGCTCAAATAAAATGTCATCAAGAAATATGAGAACAGCTCTGTAAGTCTGATTTGAAGACACATATATGTTTTTCTTTTTGACTGCATAGGGAACAATGAAATAAAACCTCATTGACGTAATTGAACCTGATAACATCGCCTGGTTGTGCTGCTGATGTTTCACTGTGGTCTTGGTGGTTTTGTAGAGCTCTGTAAAGCATGTTGGACTTATAAACATTCAAACAGAAACTTTGATCATGATTCAACTTTTAACCACAAAGAAAAGCTGAATTTATATATAAAGGCTCAGTCTTGAGTTCACTTTATGAAATCAACTAAAAAATATTTTAATAGTGTGTATACCTCATGTGTTTCTTAAAGGAAATGCTGTTTTTAAAATTAGTTTTGAACAGATAACCAGTCTGTGCAAATTATATAAAAATTATATTTGAGATTATAAGCAAATAATGGAAGCTCCTAAAAACAAAGTTAAAATTTCATACTTTTGTGAATGTCTTGTAGTGTAACAGAACCATGTTTTGAGGATATAACATATCATTATAACCTTTATTTTTACTGTGATTCAAAATTCAGCTGTATTTAAATTATTTACATGTTGTACTTTAGTATTGGGGTTCAAGTTTAGATGCCTAAAACTTTGTTGACTTTGGAACAATGTATATACTTTATACTTGGAAGTAATATTTTAAAAGAGCTCTCAGATACTATTACATGGGGGAATGAATATCTTCTACTAGTGTTTCTTAAACTGTACAAATAGGTCGTGTAGGATAGGTTCATTCTATATCCAAATTCTTTTCTCTATTTCTCTTAATAAAAATTATGAATTTATGACAAAAGTCAGCAAGTGTTTTTTCACTGTTGGTAATGAATACTCACATTCAACACGGACCTGGAATTTTAAAGAGATTTCTCACTGAAGATTATTTTTAGGGCCGTGTCAATACTAAGTTAATGGACCTTGTCATACTTTAAAAGCTTGAGAAAGTTATTTGCATTTTATTGAAAATACTTCTATCGTATTTGCTATTTATGCTTTTATACTTTCTTTTTTTATATCTATATTTGCTCCATTTTTCCTTGGCACACTAAAAAGATATATACCCTGTGTTGGAAATTAAGTGTATTTACATTTGTGGAGTTTCTCTAACACTGTGTCATGCCCAGTGTGTGTGTGGTAACCACCAGCTTATTTTCTATGAGAAAGTCGCCTGTAGATTTGCAGTTAGGAAATACTCATTGTTTAGCAAGGCTCTTCTTGCTATACAGGGAACTGATTCTTTCAGAGCTGATTCCAACACATGTTTTCCAGTCTTGATCATAGTTTACAAAATAATCATTAAGTAGAGAAAAATCATCTTTTTTGGTAGAGGGTTTCTCAGTGGTAGATACATAAAAACTTGACTACTGTTCTCAGGAAGGACAGCAATAGTTATGTGTATTGCACAGACACCAAGAGTGGATTCATACTAGCACATGTATCCAGCAGTAAAGTAAAATATCTTCTGGGACAGTACTCTTTTACATTATATGCCTTTGTTCTGTGCTGTCTCAAGGTGCAACATGGTAAATATATTTTGATCTGCTCTCTTCCAGCATAATGTTTATCACCTGTCTGGCTAGTCTTACTGGTCTCTTGGCGAAATTTATCTTTTTTATAAGCTTTTGCTGTGAGGAGTACAGCACCCAAAGGGAACCTCTATAGGTTTTCTCTTGTTTTAGGAACAAAAATCTTCAGTTTCATACAGGAATGCATTTCGTGCTTAGTCTAGAGAAATGCTATTGGTTTACCAAAAAAGTTGTTTTGTTTGAATATATCATAAAAGTTTTCATGGGTTCCCATATTATTTGATAAACTTTCAATCCAGACAACATTCAGAAAAATATAGGATGAATGAATTGTAACTTTAAAAAAATTCAGCTTTTAGATAGACACTGTTGTATGTCCTGGTTATATTTTTGTTTTTATGAATTTGTGTAGTATTAGCACGTGCACAGATTTGTTTGTATTCTGTGTGCACTGGAGTCTTGTTCTTGATTTAGGCTCAGCGTTTATTCTGAGTTACTTATGTTACTATTTTAATAAATTTTTTAAGCTTTAATTTTTTGATCAGGGATATAATGTAACACATTGAAAAGAATACAAACTTAACAGACAAACAATAATATTCAAATGACACACAAATACTTTAGCTAAGATGATCTGTGCTCTTACAAAAGAATGCAATCCTAATGACACCAGCTTTTAAGGATATGAAGCTTATTAAGATGATTATATTTCTGTAAAAATTAATTTTCACCTTTCACAATTTTGTAATATATGTAAACAAACTCGATTTCTTTTTTTCCTCTCTAAATAGTTCAGACTCCTCAGGAACAAGAGTAATAATGGCTAATACTCCATTACTATTTCCTAGTTTAAACTTTTACCTAAGTGTTAATATTATTATGGACATTAGGCTATATTTTCATTAAGGGTTTTGCTCCTTGGGATCTCTCTCTTTATCCTGTATTACTAGATCTCTTACTTGGGATCTCTCTCTTTATCCTGTATTACTAGATCTCTTACTGTCCCGGACCATTCCTGTTAAGTACAGACAAGCTCTAGGACCTGTCCTGTTAATAACAAAAAAGTATTACCCCACATTCTTTTCCAATTATTGCTCCATTTCATTGTTGCTGTTTGCAGCACAATTTCTCAAAAGTTTTCTCTAGTCACTATCTCTACTTTTCTACCTTCATAAATTCTTAATTTATTAAAGCTGAGCACTTACAAAATGTAGAGACTAAGGACAGCGAACACCATCTACCCACAACTACCACTAACTTCGAACATTACTAATGACTTTGAAGATCCCTGTATGCCACTCTCAGATCCAATTTCCTTCTCTTCTCTCTTAAGATGTTCACCATGATGAATTTCTTTAGTTTCTCATGTATTTGTATTCCTAAAAATTACATTGAAATGTAGTTTTATGTTTCTAGGATTCTTCACTTATATGGTATAAAGCTGTACTTTGCATTCACTTTTACTAGATCTGTTCCACTGCATGAATATACTAGAATTTCTCCATTTTATTTTTTGGACAATTGGGTTGTATCTAGTTTTCTTGCTATTCCAAAGAGTGCAGTTACATGTACTTGTGGCTTGTCTCCTGGTCAAACTGTATAGCAAAGGATTAAGCTTTAGGGTTTCTCCCTTTATCTGTTGTGAATTGATGCTTTTATAAAATATACTAAAAATGTCTCAGCAATGTCAAATTTCTAACTATTTACTGTTAATTTCTGTATTTATCTTATGGTGGACAACACTTTGAATAACACTGTGTTAAGATATATTTAGTTGCAAAATTCTTGATCATACATCTGCTTATGCAGAAAATTTTGTGTCATCAAAGTCACTAATATTCTAGTTCAAATTTCACAGAAGGCAGTCTGCAACAATTTGTGGCTGGTACTCTATCTGTTTTCAGTTCCTAAGATGCAGGAGATTTCAGATACAGGCCTGCTGGTTTTGGTAAATGTATTTTTTATCCTAGAGAAAGTGAGTGCAATTAGGAATGAGCTGCTGCTTAAGAGTTCTTTCATAGCCAGCCTAGCAAGTACAAGTGAGAGAAAACCATGGTAATGGGCTGAAGAGCCAAGGATGAGTGAATTTATAAAGGGAGACGGTCTGCAATACAAAATTCTACAGTAGAGAAGTCTAAAAAGTAAGCATTGAGAAAAAAATTGTACGTAAGGTTTTTAGAAACTTCTAAGAGCACAATTAAAATTGAGTGTACAATACCTCTCATGTTAGCAGCAGGTCCTGAGTAGGCATCCTCAGAATGGTCTCAGTGCATCAGAATGCAAGCTAATGTTCTTATAAGCAAGAAACGGGACTACTTTATATCAGTGTTTTCAACCTTATTATTATTATCAACCCACTAAAGGAGCCTCTTTTAGACATTTTTTCCCTAATCATCACTAC